TATTGTGTTCTACTTGAAAAATCTGCTAATGACCCATTCCTGCGGGAAGACTTTCTGAGCACGACCAAGCTCTTCTGACGGGACGTTTAAAATGGAGTTCTGTTGATTGTTTTGGCAGTGACGCGTGCTCTCGATGAGCCTGATTGCCCTTTAGGATAACCCATAGCTTCCTCTTTCCTTCGCATTCCTCTTTTTCTCCATTGTATGACATCAAACCAGTGACTTTTTTCCACTACTTGGGCTCGGTTACGTGGCTCTTGCTTGCCATTATGCTCTAATACTGGTCATACTTTCTGGAGTCAATTATATGGCCCTTGTTATTAGTATTTAAACGTTAAAGTCTACTTTTTTTTTATGCCTCCTCATTGCTTTGTGGACTATGGGAAACATGCTTCTCATCGGTTTCTCTTTGTGAGATATACCATGAACGGTGTAGATTACTCAACTCTTTTTTTTTGGGGGGCCTTCATACCATACTATATTATCTTTGATATGATATACACGTGATCAGATCTTGCACTTGAGAGGTAGAGGCACAATATAAAAATTGAAACTTTCAGATTAGTTTTAATGTTGTACATGGGCACTTCTCCTCTAGAGCGCAACTGGCATTTGTTAGTTAGTTTCTACAGTTCCTGTTACAGAATTTCACTATCCAGTATGCTTGACTTGGTTGACTAATAGGGTGTTTAATGATGCAGGGTCAACCTCTTTCCTATTCACTATGTACAAGTATGTTGGCATCTTCATGGTTGCCTTCGCTGTCCTCATTTTTGTGTTCTTGGGATCCGTTGATGGATTCAGCACAAGTCACCAGGTTTGCACCTACGACGCAACCAAGATGTGCAAGCCTGCCCTGGCTACTGCTGCTTTCAGTACCATATCTTTCTTGCTCGGGGCTGTGACCTCTGTGGTTTCTGGGTTCCTTGGGATGAAGATTGCCACCTATGCAAATGCTAGGACAACTCTCGAGGCAAGGAAAGGAGTAGGGAAGGCTTTCATTGTGGCCTTCAGATCTGGTGCAGTCATGGGTTTCCTCTTGGCTGCAAATGGTCTAGTGGTTCTTTACATTACCATCAACCTCTTCAAGCTTTACTATGGAGATGACTGGGGTGGTCTTTTCGAAGCTATTACTGGTTATGGTCTTGGGGGGTCTTCCATGGCTCTCTTCGGTAGAGTTGGTGGTGGAATCTACACCAAAGCTGCTGATGTTGGTGCTGATCTTGTGGGAAAAGTTGAGAGGAACATTCCTGAGGACGACCCCAGAAATCCAGCTGTAAGCAACTAAATATTTTTAGCTTGCTTAAGAACTTGGTTGGCTTTTGGTTAACTCATTGTTTATACTTTGCTTCTGTTTTCTCCAGGTGATTGCTGACAATGTGGGTGACAATGTTGGTGATATTGCTGGTATGGGATCCGATCTTTTCGGTTCATATGCCGAGTCTTCATGTGCTGCCCTGGTGGTTGCGTCCATCTCATCTTTTGGGATTAACCACGAGTTCACAGCTATGCTTTACCCACTCATTATCAGTGCAGTAGGAATCCTTGTTTGCTTGATCACCACTTTGTTTGCCACTGATTTCTTCGAGATCAAGGCTGTGAAAGAAATCGAGCCAGCTCTGAAAAAGCAGCTTGTCATCTCAACTGTTCTCATGACTGTTGGGATTGCCGTTGTTAGCTGGGTCGCTCTTCCAGCTTCCTTCACTATCTTCAATTTCGGAACACAGAAGGATGTGACGAACTGGTGTGATTTTCGCTCACCATATATTTTGTTATATTTATGGTATCGTCTATGAAGAATTTTGTCACTGAACTCCTTTCTCCATTCAGGCAACTGTTCTTGTGTGTTGCTGTTGGTCTATGGGCTGGACTTATTATTGGATTTGTGACCGAGTACTACACCAGCAATGCATACAGGTAAAAACAACTTTGGAAACCTGAAGTTCAGCTTTGTTCATCTCTTTTCTGAATTAGTAATAGCACTTAATTTTTTCTGTTGGGTTTCAATTTTTTTCTTTTCTTTTGCAGCCCTGTTCAAGACGTTGCGGATTCTTGCCGAACTGGAGCTGCCACTAATGTCATTTTCGGGCTTGCATTGGGATACAAATCTGTCATCATCCCCATCTTTGCCATCGCAATTAGCATTTTTGTTAGTTTCAGCTTTGCTGCTATGTACGGCATTGCAGTAGCTGCACTTGGAATGTTGAGCACCATCGCCACTGGATTGGCCATTGATGCTTATGGTCCCATTAGTGACAATGCTGGAGGTATCGCTGAGATGGCAGGAATGAGTCACAGAATCCGTGAGAGAACTGATGCCCTCGATGCTGCAGGAAACACCACTGCTGCTATTGGCAAGGTTGGAATCTTTCTTTGAAAATATCTCTTAAATCTCTTCTTTTTTCCTGTTGTTTTTTCGAAGTTATCTTCTTGTTCTTCATCTGACGTATCAGTGGGTGGTGTCAAATGATTTTGTGTCCATGGGACCACGACTAGTGTGGCACACTCCTCTAGGGTATGGATGACATGGATTAGCTGCCCCACTTCTCTTTGTGGTTTTGCTGGAATTATTTATTCATTTTGAAAGAGAAAGCCGTGACTTTTCCCCCTCTTCTTCCCGAGGAGTTAGATAAGGAACCAATCCCTGCAACTGCCTTGGACCACTTGTTTACGTGCGTGGTCTTCTATTTCTCTAGTTAAATGACAAAAGTGAGAATGATAACAGCTGTTTTGTTTTGTGCGCCATTTTTTCATTGGGTGGATAATGGTCAGTGAGAAACCAACATTAAATTTCCAGGGGTTTGGTTAAACTAAAATGGAGTTTTGCGTGCGTATTAAGTTTGCTTTCTTGATAACCATATTCTTTCACTTGTTTTTGTTACAGTTATCTGTTTTCTATCATTGTAGAGAAGCTGTTTCTTGAGCATCATCATCTGCTAAGTCGCTATAGTTTGCTCAACTCTTCAATTCTTCCAAATTTTTTCAGGGTTTCGCTATTGGTTCTGCTGCCCTCGTCTCGCTGGCACTCTTTGGTGCCTTTGTCAGCCGTGCATCCATCACAACTGTCGATGTGTTGACACCGAAAGTATTTATTGGCTTGATTGTCGGAGCTATGCTTCCATACTGGTTCTCTGCTATGACGATGAAGTCTGTTGGAAGTGCAGCATTGAAGATGGTTGAGGAAGTTCGCAGGCAATTCAACACCATCCCTGGACTAATGGAAGGCACTGCTAAGCCTGACTATGCCACCTGCGTCAAGATCTCCACCGATGCCTCCATCAAGGAAATGATTCCACCTGGTGCCCTTGTCATGCTCACTCCTCTAATCGTCGGCATCTTCTTTGGCGTGGAAACCCTCTCCGGTGTCCTTGCTGGATCTCTCGTGTCTGGTGTGCAGGTAAAAGCCAGATGTCAGATCTCTATATTGCTGATCCTGAATGGCTCTCGATACTTGACTTGTTCTTAATGCTGGTTATGCTTTTGTGTGTACTGCAGATTGCTATCTCTGCATCGAACACTGGCGGTGCATGGGACAATGCCAAGAAGTACATTGAGGTAAAAATACATCTGCTTCGTCTCTTCCCTTTTGAATTGTAGAATGCTTGCTCCACTTTTCTCATTGAATTCGAGTAAAATCTTGATTTTTTGTGGGTTTTGTTCCAGGCTGGTGCATCAGACCACGCAAGATCACTCGGTCCGAAAGGATCAGACCCACACAAGGCAGCAGTCATTGGTGACACCATCGGAGACCCGTTGAAGGACACATCCGGACCATCGCTCAACATCCTCATCAAGCTCATGGCTGTCGAGTCCCTTGTCTTTGCCCCATTCTTCGCCACTCACGGTGGCCTGCTCTTCAAGATATGAGGAGAGTATGCCATTGATGGCGAAGTATCCAACCAGAGGAGCATCAAGATGCTTGCTGTCTGGCTTCCTTCTTTTTACCCTCATCCTCTTCCCCCCAAAACCCCCATCCTCCACCCTCCAATGGCCTTCTTTTCTCAGATAGTTCAGTTTATATGTAGTCTGTAGCTTTTGTTCATGGTCTTTGATAACGACGAAGATAGATATGGTGAGGAGAAGAACATTGTCGGTGATGGTGAATCCTCGAGGCCAAGGCGAAAAAGAGAGTTGTGACTTGTAGTTTTATATGTTTCTTCATTAGCAAGCAAAAAACATTTACATTTTTCGTGTAATCCCCAGTGTCTTATTCATCTTTCGAGTTCTTTTACAGTGAGCTTCTTTTGGTCTCTGCAACTTATCTTTCTCTATATAGTCCGGATTTTTATTGACATATTGAAGGTCAAAATGGTATAAGCTCCTTGTGACCTAAAAGAGTTAAATCACTATTTAATCTCAAAAATGAAAATACCTTCCGTTGACTTTTTTAGTATGATTTCACAAATCTTTAGATATTTTCGTTGCCAAAATAAAAATAAAAATTAGGGGTAAATCTAAAAAATGAAAATACCTTATGTTGACTTATTTAGTATGATTTCACAAATCTTTATATATCTCCGTAGCCAAAATAAAAATTAGGGGTAAATGTCACATTTTGGTTACTGAGATTACTAAATCATATCATGTTTAGTCACTAAAAATATTAATATCATTTTTTGTCACTTTTAGTCACTCTTCCGTCAATTTTCGTCCAAATCCATTAACAAAGTTGTATGGAGGTTAACAGAGAGTGACTAAATGTGAATGACATTCATAAAAAAAGAAGTAATTCAAATGACCGGAGCTGGACAGAGATGAATGAATGACAAAAATTGATATTAATTTGTTCTAGTTACTAAGCAAAACACGATTTAATAATCCAGTGATCAATGTGGCATTTACCCAAAATTAGGTAAATGAAGGAATCATATTTAATTATCCATCCTCTCGTCCTATCCTATTTCCTTGCTCTTATTAAATCCCTAATACACAAAGAACACACCACTCTTCCAATTTCCACCATCCTCCTTTCTGCATTTTCCCCCAAACTGAAGACCACGATGTGTACTCTAGAGAAGCGCGGCGATTTCTTCATCCTGACACTCACCGGTGAAAACGACGACCACCGTCTCAGCCCAACCCTCATCGCCGCCGTCCTATCTGCTCTCCGCGAAGCCAGATCGCAGGCCACCAGAGGCTCGGTCCTCATCACCACCTCCCAGGGCAAATTCTTCTCCAACGGCTTCGATCTCGGCTGGGCGAGATCCGCCGCAACCCCATCCGATGCCTTCTTGCGGCTGCACCAAATGGTGGAATCGTTCCGGCCGATTGTCGCCGAGCTGATCTCCCTCCCGATGCCCACCGTCGCCGTCGTCCAGGGCCACGCCGCCGCCGCCGGATTCGGCCTGGCCCTGAGCCACGATTACGTGTTTATGAGGAGCGACAGAGGCGTTTTGTACATGAGCGAGGTCGATTTGGGGCTCCCTTTCCCTGATTACTTCTCGGTGCTGTTCAGGGCGAAGCTCGGTTCCATCGCGGCCCGTCGCGATGTGCTGTTGCGAGGGACGAAGGTCCGGGGAGCGGAGGCGGTGAAGCTGGGGATCGTGGACGGAGCTTACGATGGCGAGGAGAAGGTCAAGGGTGCTGGAATGCAGCTGGCGGAGAAGTTGGCATCGAGGAAGTGGAACGGCGAGATTTACAAGGAGATAAGGAAGAGCCTGTACCCGGAGCTTTGTGCGATCCTGGGTTTGGAAGTTGACAAACCAGCCCTCTCGAAGCTCTGATCCTGTCTGGATTTGGTTGAAAGGAAGAAAAAGGAGGTTCAATAAGATTTCATAGAGTAATTTGATTTCGTTATCATAGTCTATTCCCCTGTGTTCAAAAAAGTCTATTCCTCTGTTCAATGTGCCTGGAAATGGAATTTTCAACACAAACTTCAGATTACTGACTCGGAAAACTGGATCAGGGCAAGTTGGAAAAGTTGCAGACTTTTATCCAAGAGAGAGCTTCAAATTCTGGCATCATCAATGACTCTCCTCCCACTCTGGTAGTACAGGAAATGGGTAGTTTCTTCATATTTCACCTTCCTGTACATTGGTGGCCTTTCTTCATTCACAAGCTCTTCAATCGGTTCCACTATCACTTCCGGGTTTGAAAGAGAAAGCATAGCCAGGGAGATTCTCTCCCCTTCTGAATCCACCATTGCCCTGTGGTACAAGCTCTTGAACACCCCATTGCTCAGTATCTGCCACATATTCCTCTCCATTTAGTCATGTTAAGGAAAAGAAAGCGAAAGAGCTACCTCCACCGACTAATTACTCGCTGTGAATGATTTACTATATTACCTCTAGCTGCTCCCCAACATTGATGACAAGGGCGCCTGGAACGATGGGAACTCTGAACCACTGGCCGTCCTTCTCAATCTGCAGGCCTCCCAGTTCTTTGTCCTGCAGGAGAACTGTGAGCACGGTTGAATCGGAGTGTGGCTTGAGGCCGAAGACGAGATCTGGCCTCGGGCATGGAGGGTAGAAGTTGAATCTTCCATTCATTATCCATGGCTCTCCCATCTTGTGCAGGAAGGTGGTTTCTTTCAGGTTGAGTGACCTGGCCAGTGCCTTCAGGATGACTTCATAGATTGTTACCAACTTGCTGCTGTATTCATCCACAACTTCCCTGCACCGGTTTCATGTAATCAAATGCTCCTTTCTCATGTTTTTTTTTTTGAAGTTGTAAAGCTGTTGTTTGAAGAGAAAATCTCATTTTATGTGGAAGAGTACTAGAGTAGTAGTAGAATCTGGTATGACACGGGCATGGTACAGTTCTGATTAGGTGTAATTCTGCTGATTCTCATTTTAACCAAATCAGTATCTCGATTCAATTCTACATTCCTCGTATTCCTTATTTTGGTTAAAAATCCAAGTTTGATGACGAATTTGGTTTTACCTCATTGAATTTAGTTTGTACTTATGTGCACTGTGTGATACCTGAACTCGGCTGGATTCTCAGGCCAATACTTCAACTGTCTGAACTCCTCGGGACGAATAGTGAGGCTCAATCTGGCAGACCAATCGCGAACAAGCAAATCTCCAGGGACAGGGTCAGTCCCATACCCTTCAAACCCATCAACTTCCCTCTTCCATTTTAGCTTCTCTTCTTCTGGCAGCGAGACGAATTGCTTGAACACCGTCCTCACTTTGTCAAGACAACTCTCCACTCCATGGTTTGTTATCTGTACACACAGTAAACCATCACCAAATCTCATATCAAAATTTGAGCAGTCAAAATGAAACGTCAAAAGAAGGAAAGGCAAGAAAAAAAGCAGACAATCATGCAGCCATATGTGCTGAGGGTCGATCGGATCTTTTGATCAGCTTCTTCAGTGGCTTGGGATGGAGCAGTGAGTTGGCCAAGGTCGATGATTGGAAGGTCTATCAATGGAAGCAGCGAAGGGTGGTCATGGTTGCCTCCACGGATGTATTTGGATTCTGGGTTCTTGCCACTGATTGGGATTTCTTTCACAACTTCCATGGTGGGTCGGCTAGCTGGTTATGAATGAAGGGTTTGTTTGGATGGATGGATGATAGTGAGTTTGCTTATGTTTGTTCTTATAGGGCAAATGAAGACGAGGGCAGTTTCAAGTTTTTCATGAAAGACTGACAAATGGGCTAAAAGGTGTTCTGGGTTCTGAAGGATTCGTGCATAGTATACACGTATGGGACATGCATTTCTGATGGTTTTTACAAGAAGCTTGAAAATTTGCAAGCAAGGAACTGACAAGGTGAGTTGTTTTTCTTGTCGTTACTGATGAGACCCCGTTCCCAATGACAGTGAAACAGTTTTGTCCCTGCTCAAAGCCTGCAGCTCTGCTTGTTAGAGTTTTCTTTGATTTGGAGAGCACTGGTTTGTCCGTCAAGGTGCTCGATGAAATGCCACAGAGAGATGTCTTCGCGTGGACGATGATCGTTTGCACGACGTCGTTCGAGATCAGCTGATTTGTGGAGGAGTGCATTGAAATTCTTCGGTTTCAGATGTAATATTGTTTGTTGCGTTCGTTCATTCATTCTGACGTTCAAAAGATGAGTTAGACCCTACCTGAGATCAGATTTTGGCTTGAAACAGAAAGCTTTTCATTTTCTCCTACAAATGGATAATGCCAGAACATAATTGAGATTGCAGAAAGTGAAAAACCCAGAACAGGGTAAGTTGAAAAAGCCTGGAAAGTTTCAGACTTCAAATTCTTGCATCATCAATGATTCTCTTCCCAGTCTGATAGTAACGGAGCTGCAGACTTTCTTCATATTTCACCTTCCTGAACAGCAATGGCCTCTCTTCACTCACCAGCTCTTCAACTGGTCCAACTTCCACTTCCGGGTTAGGCAGACAGATCATAGCCAGAGAAGTCCTCTGTTTTTCGGAATCCACCGTTGCCCTATGGTGCGAGCTCTTGAACTCTCCATTGCTCAGTATCTGCACCAGAACAAGAAACACAAAAACAGTTACCCTCCATCCCATAAATTAATTACTGTAGAATGGTTTCCTTTTTTTTACTGCATTACCTCAAGTTGTTCTCCAACGTTGATAACAAGGGCACCTGGAACGATGGGAACTCTGAACCACTGGCCATCTTTCTCAATCTGCAGGCCTTCAACTTCCTTGTCCTGCAGTAGAACCGTCAGGACCGTGGCGTCGCAGTGCGGCTTGAGCCCGAAGACGAGATCCGGCCTCGGGCATGGAGGGTAGAAGTTGAACCTTGCATACAGTATCCATGGCTCTCTAATCTTGTCAAGAAAGGTGGTTTCTTTCAGGTTTAGTGACCTGGCCAGTGCCTTCAGGATGACTTCATGGACTGTTACCATCTTGCTCCCGTATTCATCCACAACTTCCCTGCATCGTTGTTTCATGTGATCAAATCATCAAATGCTTGTTTTTCAATAGAAAATCCAATTTCATGGCAAGGTACATTTTTAATTACTGTGTAATCTTGTAGCTTGCCATATGTGATAGTTGTTAGAGGGTTATATGTGACCATATATAATTACCGTTGAAATCTACATACTAAATTGCGTTGACATCTTATCCTCTTATCTGATAATTATTTAGAGGGTTTATGTGACAATCTTTATTTTTTATTTGGCTAATGAGATACAAACCTTGATAAACAAATTACATGAAATTAATGAGCACAACGATTTTTCTTTTTAATATTCCAAACTTTCGTTAACAACTTCGAAACCATAATCTCTGAGTTTGACCTCAAACCTATAACCTCTGAGTTTAGAGTACGTCGTCACAACCACTCGACCAGAACTTGATTGACAATATGCCCAAATTTGTTTTATGTGCAAAATAAAATAGATATGATTACCTGAACTCTGGTGGATTCTCAGGCCAATACTTGAGTTCTCTAAACTCTTGGGGGAGCACATTGAGGACCAATCTAGCAGACCAATCAACAGGAAGCAGATCTCCAGCTAGGGCAGGGTCAGCTCCAAAGCCTTGAAAAGCTTCCCTCTTGCATTTCAGCTTCTCTTCTTCTGGTAGAGCCACGAATTGCTTGAACACCATCCCAACTTTCTCCAGCAACCAGCTCTCCACTCCATGGTTTGTTATCTGCAGATTGCACAAGAAAGAAAACACAAACAGCAGAAATCAATCAATTCTTCTGTCACAAATTTGAACATCCATTGTCAGATGAAATGATGATTGAATACCATGATGCAACCGTATTCGCTTAGAGCTGATCGGAGGTTCTGATCTGCTTCTGCAGTAGTGAGTTGGCTGATATCGATGACGGGAAGGTCCATCACTGGAAGCAGAGCAGGATGGTCATGGTGGTCTTCATGGATGTATTTTGGTGGTGGGGTTTGGCTACTCATGGGGATTTCTTTGACAGATTCCATGGTGGAGTTTTGGATGATTATGAATATGCTTCGAAGGATTTGTTTTGGATGAATGGAAGTGGGTTTTGTTTGGTTTTTATAGGTGGGGGATGAGGGCAGTTTCAGATTTGCATGAAGATTGAAGACTGACAAATGGGCAAAAGGGACTTGTGAGTACATGTACAGTACATGCATGTTCCTGAGGAAATGGTTGGTTTCATTATGTGTTCAAAGTTTGACTTCAGCTGTTACAAACAACAAAGGTTGAAAACTTGCTACGTAAGAAAATTGAATTTGTTTCCTTTTATCAACTTCCCATATTGGTGATAAAAAATTCACCGACAAAACGGAGATATCTAATTGAGGCACGATAGTTAACGAGATGATGACAATTGTACTTGTATTTTTCCCCGCTTAAAATGCCTTCTCTAAACCTTTAATTATACATAGATTGAGTTGGTTCCTAGAAGTTCGGACACTGAGACAGTTGAGATCGATTGCCTCTGTCAAGTGATCTACAAAGAGACGGCGAAACTATTAGCCAATTGATTAACTAAAGCCTTTCAATATATCATCTCTCCATGCCAGAATGACTTTATTCGTGGAAGACGAATAATTGATAGCATCCTAATTAGTCATGAATGTGAAAAATCATTGGAATGGGAGCATGTCCTTTGTTGGACATCAAGTTATATACGAATAAGGCTTATGATAGAATAGAACGACATTTTCTTATAGAAATGATGAAGCAAATGAGATTCACTGGACAAATTACAAACTTCAGTGACCAAGCACCAATTATCCATACGACACAGTTTAGCTGAAGACATTTGAATCCTACGTTTGGGCGCCAAGCAACTGTCTTCGCGCCAACCCAAAGTTCGAAACTTGCCATCAACAGCCTTGTCCATGGAAATACTGCTTGATTAAGATTTGCATTCATTCAATTAATATCTTGGCCCGTTTGTGTAGCTCTGTTTTCCAAGAAAAAAGGGAGGCGAAAGGTTGGGCGGGCGCCAACCACTGGAACCGAGAGCAGAGCTTTATGAATAAACACAGGAATTTGAATTGGAACAGAGAGAGAGAGGGTCGATCGAAAGTTAAAAATGACCCTCCAGTTACTTGTATGGGAAATGGCAGAGTTCATTTAATCCTCCCAATCACCACTACGGCCAGGCTCTACTCTACTAGAGTAACGTACGCAGGGTATAAAGATTCGATTTTTCCCTGCCCTGCCCTTCATCTGATCTTCTCTACAACAAAAACAGAGGCTCTCTCTGTTTCTGGTTTCGAGTAAACTCAAAGAAGCGAAAGATGGCGGATGCGCAGCGAAATGGGCTCCACCTCCAACACAAGATACTGTTAGTTGGCGAAGGAGATTTCTCCTTCTCTTTATCTTTGGCTCACAAATTGGGCTCTGCCGCCAACATGATCTCCACCTCCCTCGACACTAAAGGTAAACTAAATCGTCTACTCCTGCTAAATTCTTATGAAACTTTGCCGACGATTAATGATTGGGATCTGGATTCATTATTAGGGGAATTAATCCAGAAATACAACAAGGCCGGATCCAACCTCCAGTTGCTGAAATCGATGGGAGCGCAAGTACTGCACAGCGTGGATGCAACCCAATTGAATGTTACTGCAGAGCTGTGCGGTCGCAAGTTCGACCGCATCATTTTCAACTTCCCGCACGCAGGGTTTCACCAAGGGCGCGGCGAAGCGAGCCAGTGGGTGATCGTACAGCACAAGCAACTGGTGTCCAGTTTCTTGAAGAGCGCATCAGGAATGTTGCGGCCCAATGGACAAGTCCATGTGACCCACAAAACTGCACAACCGTTCTGCTGTTGGAACATTGTGGAGCTTGCTCACAGGAGCTCGCTGGTGTTGGTGGAACAGGTCGATTTCAGGGTTGGAGATTATCCCGGTTACTGCAACAAGAGAGGCGACGGTGACAGAGCCGATGAGTCGTTCCCTGTTGGACTCTGTAGCAACTTCAAGTTCGCATTCGATCCTTGTGCTGAAACAGGGGATCGTGAGACCAACCGCGCTCTGCGTTGCCCACATTCTCGTAATCATCACGATAATCAGGCATATGATTTTGCAAGTGCGTTAATGAAGCTTATGCTTTCTCGATGATGATTGATTGGGAATTTGGAATGTATGGAGTTCGTATATGAAACATTATGTGATGTGGTGCTTTTTGGTATGTCGTAGCTATTCAAAAAGAGAGTGAGAAAAAGAGTACTATTTCAGTATTTTGTAGTGGTGTTAACTGTTAAGCACCTCAAGCTGGATGCAAATTCAAATTCAAGAGAAATTGAATTTGTTTCCTTTTATCAACTTTCCACATTGATAGACAAAAAAATTCAGCAATGAAACAGAGATGTACCTTATCCAACAACTAGGTAACAACGACCGAGCTATCATTTTTACGCTCATGACGCCTTTTCCGTGACTTTAGTCATACATAAATTGAATTGGTTTCTAAAAGTACGAAAGCTAAGACGATGAAACAATTGATATTGATTTGTCTCTGTCAAGTGTTCTACAAACTAGGAACGAAGCTATTAGCCAATAGATTAGAAAGATTCGTTCCATATATAGAATATCCCTATGATTATGTCAAATGACATTATTCGTGGAAGACAAATAATCGACAACAACCTCAATAGTCATGAAATGACTCATTACCTAAAAAATTAATCATAGGAAAGGAAGCATGTTTTTTATGGGCATCAAGCTATATATGAACAAGGCCTAGAATGATACTTTGTTCTAGAAATGATAAAAGCAAATGAGATTCACTAAGCATTTTACATATTGGATCCTCCAATGCATAACTTCGTAGCTCAATGAGTTAATTATTCAGCCTGAAGTTCGATATCTCAATCAAGACCACATAACACCTTATTTAATCCACTGTCGCTTCGATAAGTTACTATGTCACATGAAATAGGTTCAGTTATTATGGTTTCACTGTCGCTAATAACCTAATTAACTACAAATCATTGTATTGGTGGCCAGTCAACACAAAGCATTAAGCAATTCCATGCAATAGAGGTTGGAAGAAAAGAAATATGAATCAATCCATCAATTCTAGAAATAGCTACATCCTATGATGTTTCCCCAATAAATTGGGGTTAGTTCATGACGAAAATAAAGCACTCAATCATGTTTATAATCATAATCGAATTGAAGCAAAAGGAAAAGGAAAAGAATACTGATATTTTCTTCCCCTTTGCTCCGCTCGTTCTGCTCCGCTGCTTCGCTCGACTGCTCACTCCTGTCCCAGTTCGCCCGCAAGCTGCTGTCTTCTCCGTGTCCGATTCTTCCCCAGCCAATTGCATTCCGCCCTGATCACCTTGTGCTTTTAATTGCCAACTCCTTTTATCGCCAAAAACTTTCACCAACAAGGCTCGAGAGTCGAGAGAGGTTGCTCGAGGTCGATGGAGGCATTTCGTAGCAAGGACGCGACGAGGGCATCGCGATAATAGGTGGGGGAGGATGTCACGCGTGGCGGGCGACATGACGAATGATGTGGCGGATCATGACCAAGTCAAGCACGTGTGACATTAAGGAAGACCTAGTAGCATAGGATTATCCAAGGATTCCCCATCTTGAAGATGAGCTTAATGGTGCACATAAAGAGCCACATTATGAGGTGGTATAATGTTGTGCATTATGGGGGAAACTTAATAGTGTGTAGTAATGGGGAGGGACCATTATGAGGGGAATTGATGCCTTGTATGAGGAGAGGCCTATATAAGGAGCCATCTCCCTCACTTGTAACTCATCCATCATTTTTGTGAGCAATACAACTATAGAGTTTCTCCCATCTTCTTGTGAGTTGAGTAGGGGTGGGCATGTGGTTCGGTAAACCCGAACCGAACCGACCCGAAACCGATTTTGACCGAACCGAAACCGAACAATTGCTATTCGGTTCGGAATTCGGAAGCCAAATACAGGTATATCGGAAACCAGGGTTGTCATGACCGAACCCGAATTCCGAACTCCGAACCGAAATCCCGAAATTCTGCTACCCACCCCTGCTAAGCCTGTTACTCTACCCAGCCCAATCCCCCACAAGGCCACAACCTACTTTCCAAGCCCATTACACCCACCAACCCAGACCTCTCCTAAAGCCCATTACCCCCAAAACCACAACTCACAACCCTACTCTCCAAGACACCAACGGCCGCCGCTCCTCCCTCCGCTGCCGAAACGAGATTCTTCCCCACATGTGAGATGTCTTCGATACAATCACAGCCGCCGCTCCTCCTTCCAATTTCCAGATCTTATCGTGCCGTCCGCGACCGTGCATGTGTCATCGGTGGCCTCTGTCGGCGCCTGTGACCTTCCTCTTCCACTGTCATCGGTGAGCTTCCTCTTTATAAGGGCGGCAACCACATGCAAAGTTCAAAATGCGAGAATGGAAGGTTCTCGGTGGGAGCCGGATCTGGATATTGCCGCCGAAGAGGGGAGAAGGAAAAATGAGGAATTGAAGTGGGAGGGAGGAGAATAGATAGATTGGGTTTTTTGTGAGTCAATGAAGAGAGAAGAAATACCGAGAGATGGGAGAAAGGTTGGCTTTTTAGGGCCTCCTCAACTCCTCTGCCTTCTCTTTTGAATTCGGGTTTGGATTTGGAGTTCGCCAGTAGCAGAGAGGGGAAAAGAAGATCAGAGATGGAGAGGGAGAAAATTGGGAATGAATGAGTGAATGGAAAGGGAAAGGGAAAGGGAAAGAGAGAGAGATAGAGAGAGAAGAGGTGGGGTGTGAGTGTTGGGTCGTTCAAGTTCAAGGGGAGAGAAGAGAGGGGTTCTTTTTTGTCCCTGCAGTCATAAATATCGGTTTTGCATGGAAATTCGAACCGAACCGGAATATAATTCGGTTCGGGCAAGCCCGAACCGAATTATATTTCGGTTCGGAATCTGTTTGGCCTGCACCCTAGATCGGAACTTCGATAGTCACCTATTCGGTTCGGTTCAAACCGAAC